ACCATTTAAGTTGTTTCCTATTTTCGTTCCTTTTTGGTTGTCAATGTACATACATACAGTGAAAACAGCTATGTATCTAAATCGTATGTACTACAAAACATTCTTATTTCACAGATCAAATTCTTTCTATATGTATGTTTTTTCTTTGATTTTTTTCCATTTCTTTAGTTTCGATATTTTTCTTTTGACAGCCTTTACTTGCTTTCTATGTTACATATTTTAAAAATATTATGTAAACCAGAATTTGCTTTTTTTTTTTTTTTTAAATACCAGAATTTGTTGTTTCCATTTCCTTTTAAATATATATTTTTAGTTCATTTGTAAATAAAATTTCCTTATATTGTTTTTCTGTGTATCATTTTCTATTTCAAATAATTACTATACAAAAAAAAAAGCCGTTTAATTCACATATTATCAGCAATCTTTTTTTTTCATACGGGGGTGTATATATATGTAGGAATGTCTCTGTTCTCAACATCTTCTAAACAAAAAAGAATTTTCAAACTATTTTTTCTCACTCGATTAACCACAATCCCTTTTTTTATATAATATACCATAATATTTCTGGTAACATGGTTCTACGTGTCGTAGGGTTTCTCTTGTTGTGCTTTGCCGTAGAAGCGACCACAAGCAATACTGGTACATACATCACACTTGTTAGCTTTTGCTTATAACATAAATCAAGAAACTTATTTTCTATCGACACATTCTCTAATCTATTGACTTTTTGTTGTATTGCATCAAGCTCCTACGAACATAACAGTTCCGGCACTAATAGTATTCGGAGATTCAATTATGGATACGGGGAATAACAATGACATTCCCACTCTTCTGAAATCAAATTTTCCTCCTTATGGTCGAGATTTTCCTGATGGTATTCCTACCGGTAGATTTTCAGACGGCAAAGTTCCATCGGATCTCATTGGTATAGCCATCGAAGTCTTTATTATTCGTTTTCTAATTGTTTGGTTTTGTTTCTAGTCCTTATTTTGTGTACATATACTAATCTAGTAATACAAAAAACATTGCAGCGGACAAATTAGGGATTGCAAAGACACTACCACCATATTTAGGTTCGAATATAAAGCCAAACGATCTTTTAAAAGGTGTAATATTTGCTTCTGGAGGTTCCGGTTATGATCCGCTAACATCTACGTTATTGGTAAAAATATTTACATCTGATTATTTTTTCTTTTACTTATTATATTAATATTTCTAACTTTCTTTCGGTTTTTCTATATTTTTGCAGTCGGTAGTATCAATGTCAGATCAATTGATATATTTTCAAGAATATATATCAAAAATTAAACAACACTTTGGAGAAGAAAAAGTTAAGTTTATGTTGGAGAAAAGTGTGTTTCTAGTGGTCTCTAGCAGTAATGATCTCGCCGAGACTTATTTGGTCAGATCAATCGAATTTGATCGTGACTCATATGCTGAATATCTAGCTGAATTGGCTTCCAAGTTCATTAAAGTAAGTTTTCCTGTAATCTAACCACAATATTTAATCATAATAGTTTCAAAAACAAAAACAAAAACAAAAACATTTAATCATAAACCTATATGTAAAAGAGTATCTCTATTTTGTCTAATGTTTTAGGAATTATCCCAACTCGGAGCTAAAAATATCGGTGTGTTTAGCGGAGTGCCAGTTGGATGCGTACCCGCGCAAAGAACACTTTTCGGAGGTATACGAAGAAAATGTTTCGAAGATCTAAACAACATGGCACTTCACTTCAATGCAAAACTATCATCTAATTTGGATGCTCTACAAAAAGAGTTGCCAAGTAAACTAATATTTATCGACGTTTACGAAACTCTTCTCGACATCATCAACAATCCTGCGAATTACGGTAATTATGATACGAATTGACAACTTTTTATTATTGTTACGTACATCAACGTTATAAGATTAACATATTAATTATATATGTTTTTGTATTTTTCTTGTAGGATTTGAAGTAGCAGATAAAGGATGTTGTGGTACTGGAAAATTTGAGTTAGTTGTATTGTGCAACAAATTTACTCCTTTTACATGTTCGGATGCATCGACTCATGTGTTCTTTGACGCTTATCATCCGAGTGAAAAGGCATATCAAATTATCACTGATAAACTGCTAGATAAATACCTTAAGTACCTTCACAATTGAAATGTATAGTCAAGTAATATTTAATCTGATGAATGTACGTTTAATTATTATATAATTCTACAATTAATAATAAGTAATTATTTCATGAAAATGCTTTGTTTTATTTGATTTACGATTACAATTATTTTGTCAGCTTATCCGAGAGTATCTAATTTTTGCATGCGCATTTTTGTACTATAATGTAAACCTAAATTCGAGTGACCAACAAGAAAAAAACTTACGATCGAGAGTATTGGACTGTGTTTTTTATTTTCTTTGGATGATTGCCCAAATAAATTATTGATTAATGATTGCCATGCTTTTACACTAACGTTATAAAACTATTTACATATATAAATTTAAGAATTGAGCCAAGAAACAACCAATATCTAAGATTTTCCTAATTTTATAAGTTATCAACAATCTTATTACTGCTGTGCACTGATAGTGGCTTTAATTAAGGTGACAGTAATTAAAACACTAGATCAAAACTGGGCCCATGAGAATCATGTGGTTGATGTGATAAATTAGTGGGACAATTGCAAAATTAGTGACAGCACATAGGATTAAATTATATAATAAAACTGTGAATTGTTGATGAACTGATGGTTTTCCACAATAAAGTTAATTACTCTTTTTTGGTCGAAAACATAAAGAGTTAAACCAAAACATAAAAAGTAACTTATTCACATTCCGAAATTAATGGTTACAACGTTATTGTCCCCGATCTGTCGCTAGCAGCTGGTGGCAACTTTATAGTTATGTCGATGAAC